TCTCAACATGTTGTGCAGCATAGAGGCCTTTATACATCCATATTTTAATGGCACATATCCCCACACGATAGGATTTCCAAAGAGTGCCTGGTGGATTTGGACTGCCAAGCTTTTGGTTAGCAGCCGAGCTCTTAATCACTGCGCCACCATACCACCTAATTCTCAGAGTTCCTGTGAAGAATAATTAAGATCCACCTACTTTGCAAGGTCAAGAGGTAGCATATGATCAGGAACCGATGGTACTGAAGGAAGAGGTCCAAGCTGCACTGAAGGCATTGGTGAAAAACAAGCCTCCAGGAATTGATGGAATACCAACTGAGATGTTTCAACGAACGGATGCAGCACTGGAAGTGCTCACTCATCTATGCCAAGAAATTTGGAAGATGGCTACCTGCCCAACTGACAGGAAGTGATCCGTATTTATGCCTATTCCCAAGAAAGGTGATCCCACCAAAATGTGGAAATTATGGAACAATATCATGAATATCACATGCAAGTAAAATTTTGCTGAAGATCATTCAAAAGAGGCTGCAGCAGTATATCAACAGCGAACTGCCAGAAATTCAGGCTGGATTCAAAAGAGGACGTGGAACCAGGGATATCATTGCTGATGTCAGATGGATCCTGGCTGAAAGAAGAGAATACGAGAAAGATGTTTACCCGTGTTTTATTGACTATGCTAAGGCGTTCGACTGTGTGGATCATAACAAATTGTGGATAACATTGCAAAGAATGGGAATTCCAGAACACTTAATTGTGCTCATGAAGAACTGTATGTAGATCGAGAGGCAGTTGTTCAGACAGAACAAGGGGATACTGCGTGGTTTAAAGTCAGGAAAGGTGTGTGTCAGGGTTGTATCCTTTCACCGTACCTATTCAGTCTGTATACTGAGCGAATAATCCAAGAAGCTGGACTATATGAAGAAGAACGGGGCATCAGGATTGGAGGAAGACTCATTAAGGACCTGCGTTATGCAGATGACACAGCCTTGCTTGCTGAAAGTGAAGAAGACTTGAAGCACTTACTGATGAAGATCAAAGACCACTGCCTTCAGTATGGATGACACCTCAGCATAAAGAAAACAAAAATCCTCACAACGGGCTCAAAAAGCAACATCCTGATAAACAGAGAAAAGATTGAAGTTGTCAAGGATTTCATTTTACTTGGATCCACAATCAACACCCATGGAAGCAGCAGTCAAGAAATCAAAAGGTGCATTGCATTGGGCAAATCTGCTGCAAAAGACCTCTTTAAAGTGTTGAAAAGCAAAGATGTCACCTTGAGGACTAAGGTGCGCCTGACCCATGCCATGGTGTTTTCAGTAGCCTCATATGCTTGAAAAGCTGGATGATTAATAAGGAAGACCAAAGAAAAAATAGTACCTTTGAATTGTGGTATCGGCAAACAATATTGACTATACCATGGACTGCCAGAAGAACAAACAAGTCAGTCTTGGAAGCAGTACAATCAGAATGCTCCTTAGAAGGAAGGATGGCAAGACTACGTCTTACATACTTTGGACATGTTATCAGGAGAAATCATTCCCTGGTGAAGGACATCATGCTTGGTAAAGTATAGGGTCAGCGAAAAAGAGGAACACCCTCAACAAGATGGATTGACACAGTGGCTACAAAATGGGCTCAAGCATAACAACGATTGTGAGGATGGCACAGGACTGGGCAGTGTTTCGTTCTGTTGTTCATAGGGTTGCTGTGAGTCGGAACCGACTGGATGGCACATAACAGCAACAGCTTTGCAAGGTTCCTGTGAAGATTAAATAAAATAACATACAGAAATTACTTGGCACAAAGTAAACAATAAATAGAGGCTGTTGTTAATATTACAAGATAAACAGAACTTCAGCTTAAGCAGACATTCCAGGATGGAGACATGAGCAGCTGTAAGGGGCAGAAAAACACAGGGCTTGTCCAGGAAGGGATGGGCTGCCTGGCCACCTCCTGTATTTGGAGGGGCTGGATAGCTTGGTGGCTGTATAGACTATGGAGCCAGACAGCCTAACAGCCAGATAGCCAAAGAAGTTACTGAACCTTACCAAGACTCATTTTCCACATTTGAAAACCAAGAATAATGATGCCCACCTCAGAGTATGGTGGTAAGGACTGAATATTTTAATGTGTGAAAGGGCCTGGTCCAGTGTCTTGAAGATGGCAGCTTTCCAGCCCCTATACATGAATGAAAATGGAATATTGATGTTATTGCCAATTTGCAGAAACTGTTCATTCTTAGTTTGATGGACCCATCTGCCAGTGCCCAATGTGTGATGATAAGCAGGAGTTAAATAATGAGAACTTTCATATTTGCTGATTTTGTTTTGTTTTGTTTTGTTTTGTTTTTATCACTTTCACCCTTGTCAGCATATTTCCCCAGAGTTTTAGAGGCTATTACATAAGGAGGAGAAGTAAATACTCTGTTTTTCCCAGCTCAGTCACTAAATCACTGAGTTAAGAGAAATTAAGTAGGGAAACTAGAAATTAGACTCTGTTTAGAGTGGAATCTAAAATAGTGGCCCTGAGGTCCCCATCAGACATTGGTAGTGATTCTCCATATTCGTAGAGTAACATCTAGTTGAAATAGTCATATCTCCATGGCCTAGATCCCCAGCAGCATAGTGAGGGTGCAAAAAATGAGTTTTAGGCTTTGACATCCGACATGTTAGGGTTTGATACTCAGATATTTTGCTTATGAGCTGTATGAGAAAAGTTACTTGCTTTTTCTCCATCCCAGTGTTTTCATCTCTCAAATGGTTGTGGCTAGGATTTATAAGATAATAGATATAAAGCAAAGAGCCCGCTGCCTAGCATATGGTAGATCTAGATAAACTGAGAGTTAAATACATACATACATAAATGAGAGATGAAGACAAAGACGTGTAACATCGCCATAAAGAGGCGAAATAACTCTCAGGATAACCTATTAAAACTATGAACCCATTTAAGGAAAGACTGTCAATTGCATTGGGGGACAGGTGTGGAGAAAATAGGGGGTTGCAGCCATGGAAGTGTAGAAAAGGGACATTCAGAGATGTAGAATGGACAGTGTCCATCCAGACACTGTGCACAGAGGATGGCCTGGCCTAGAACATGAGAGTCCACTCCTTGAGGTGGGCAGGACCGGGCAATCCTAGCTCCATGACACTGGTCATCCAGTACATACAACAGATTCTCCTTACTTTCATTCAAGAACCTCAAGCACCTTTTGATCAAATTTGGCTGAGTGGCCAAACCCTGAAGCCATTACCTCTGGGTGGATGACCAATGCCTAGTTTCTGAACTTACAAGCCTGAGGGCCAGACCCTGCAGGGACACAGTGACGTACCATCTCCGTGTGAGAACCATCAGATGCCTAAGCACCCTAAGAAGTGCTCTTCTGCAAACATAGACCAGTGATGTCATCCAAAAGCCTGCTGAAGGTGCCTGGACTGTCCCTGACCAGGGCTCTCCCAATCCAGTCCTCAGAACTACATCGTCACACTGGGAAGTGGCCCCGCAGAGTCTGGGCCCTAGTGAGCCCTAGGAAAAGCAGCAGAGGCCTGTCTGGAAGTCCCAGCATTGGGAAGGCCAGCTCAGAGCCAACCCACCCATGACTCAGCTATTTTAAACCCATTCACGAGCAATTAGAAAACACCCCCCCCCCCCCCCCACCAATACTCCTACTAGTAATGACTTAAAATAGTCTCCCATTCTGTCAGGGGAATGGGCCTCTATTATTTTATTTTTTTCTAACTTTTATTTATTTTGTTGCTGTTGAGAATATACACAGCAAAACATACACCAGTTCAACAATTTCTATGTGTACAATTCAGTGACATTGATTACATTCTTCAAGTTGTGCAACCATTCTCACCCTCCTTTTCTGAATTGTTCCTCCCTCATTAACATAAACTCACTGCTCCTTAAAACCAAAACCAAACTGGTTGCTGTTGAGTGGATTAGTTTCCTATCTAATCTTTGGAGTTGCTGTTGTCAATTTGATCCCGTATAGATAGTTCTTAAGAGACCATAACGCTCAAGGCAGGCCTTTTTGGGCCTCTATTTTTTATGAACTAATAACACCCAGATTTCCAGTGAACAATAATAAGTAAGAGCAATAATAGCTAATAGCTTAAACAATGAAATGCATTCCCCCAGATCACAGCAGTAACTTTTGGAATTTTTCTTGTATTTATTTATTCAGTCCATTTATTTATTCAATAAATGAAACGTTTCTTTCCAAGGAAGCTCATTATGGCTTCCCTGTTCTCACCTTGAGATTCTGGGAATAATAACAAAAACATTAATAATAGCTAACGTTTGGGGGATGATTGTTATGTACCGGACACTGTTCTAAGTTCATTGACTGTCTTATTTCACACAAAACTCTATGAGATAAACCCATTTTACAGATGAGAAGCCGAGGCTCACAAAGGTTAAGTAGCCTGCTGAAGGTCACATAGCTAACCAGACAACCAAACCAACCAAACCCATTGCAGTTGATTCTGACTCATAACGACCCTATAGGACAGAGTAGAACTGTGCCGTAAGGTTTCTGAGGCTGTAATCTTTACAGAAGCAGACTGCTACATTTTTTCTTGAAGTGGCTGGTGGATTCAACCACCTTTTGGTTATCATCTGAGCGCTTAACACTGCACCACCAGGGCTGCTTACCCAGACAGAGATGAGATTCAAATCTAATTTGTCTGAGGCTACAGGCTGAGCTCTTACCCACCAGTGCCACACTGCCTGGCATGGCGAATAAGTAACTCATGTTTGAGCTGGAAGAGGCCTTGGGGTGCCTCAGTGCAACTATTTCTAAACCTGGCTGGTTATCATGGTCGCTCAGGAAGCCTTCCCAAAGCAGAGATTCCCAGGCCCTGCCTCAGAGATTGTGATTCAACAGGTCTGAGTGAGGCCTAGGGATCAGTATTTTGGAAAAGTCTTCAGGTGACTGATGATCAGCCATGTTTGAAAACTAGCCATCTATACTCACCTCCTTTTTCAGAGGTAGAAATTGGCCTCTGGATAGTTTTTTAAATTTAAATAGAAACTTTAACTTCTTTCACTCATTCTTGATTTATCCATTTGAACATACACAGAGCTTGTACGGTGTGCTAGAAAAGGAATTAGATGCCAGGATGTGAGAAGGTCATAATCTAAGTGGCCACAAAGACACAAACAAATTAACCACTGAGATAAGAGAAGTGATGTTATCAAAATCCCACAATAGAGGCGCAAAGAGGGGAGCAGCCTGGGAAGTCGGAGGGCTTTACAAAAGGTGACATTTGAGCTAGCTCTCAAGAGATAGATAAGGTTTGCCTGATAGAAAAGGGAGTGGGGCCTGGAGCAGGGAGGGCTTTAAAAGCAGTTTAGGCAAAGCTGTAAAAGCAAAATAAAGAACGTAGAGAATGTGGGATTCCACAGGAAATGGAGTGTGAGTGGAATGTGAGTTTGAGGGACAGCATGTTGCAAGATGACCCTGGAAAGGAAGATTGAGGCTACAGTGAACAGGTCAGCTTGTGCTGTCAAAGAGTGGGGACTTGATCCTAAAGTTAAGATGCAGCTTGTTCGAGGTAAGATAGGCAGGAGTGATAAGATCTGATCTTTGGTAAAGTGGATCACTCTGGTGTGGAGGAGAGACTGCAGAGAGAGAATGAAGAGGCTGCAGATAGGATCCCAGACAAGAAGTAATGGGGCAGAATGAAAATGTTAGTAAGGATAAGAAAGAGGTGATGCATTTGAGATGGACTTAAGAATTTGAATCAACCATACCAGACAGCTGATGGGATGCAGTTGATTAAGGAGTCGGCAAAGAACAACTCCAAGTTTTTTTTTGGATTGGGCCACTGGGCAATGCCACTTAGTACTGAAATAATGCCTACTGAACCTGTTAAATACTGCTGCCCGGAGCCCAAGCTACGGCTGCTAACCAAAATGTCAGCAGTTCGAATCTACCAGTCGCTCCTTGGAAACCGTATGGGACAGTTCTACTTCCCTGTAGGGTCGCTATGAGTCGGAATTGACTCGACACCAACAGGTTTGGTTTTTTGGTTTTTGGACCCCGAGCCCAGAGGTATGGGGAGAATGGACATGTTAGGGTTGTTAAATAGCTCCAAATAAAGTTTTTAATTCTCTCCTCATTTGAATTTTCTAGAGTTAAAGTGAATCTATTAAATTACCTGGGCAAAACTTTGGAAGACTTTTAGTATAACAGTATTCTAATTTATATTTGTTTATTTTATTTTTTTTAATTTCATACACTGTATTTAAATATATCATCTTTAAATTGTGTCAAGTTTATTTACTTAATTTAATAAAAAAATATATTTTTATATTTAAAAATTGGCAATTGAAAGTTAATAAACTTGCCTGGACCAGAAGTATAATGAGCTTCCTGTCAGAGCCCTGCTGTCTTGGACCTCAGAGAAAGGCTGCTGTTCACCAGCAAAGATCACACCCCCTTGCTGCCGCCTGCTGGTAGCATACCAAACTTAACTTGAAAGGGGTTAAATAATTGGAAAAATTGCCAAGATGTTATGAAAAGTTTTGATTCTAGCCTACTGGAATTCAGTGGCACTTATGAACTCTGCAGATACTTTTAGTTTTTATGTTATAAGAGTAATATATGCTTACAGTTAAAATAATGTGAGAATTGAGAATTATATACATAAAAGTCTTTTCTCTCAATCCAGTCTGACTCACCAAAAGTAGCCAACGTAGCAATTTGGGCTGTGCCCTTACCTTTCCTGTGCACTTATAATTCTGCAGACATTTTAATGAACCATGTTGAAAACAAGGAGACTCTCCCTTTGCCAGAGAAGCTCTCATTCAGACCATAACCCTGCTTCTGGGAGGGCCGTGGAGCAATGAGAGCCCCACTGGGTACTAAGGAGACAACATCCAAGACTGGAGGGTACTGCTACAGAGTTTTCAGGATGAGGAACGTTCTTGCTGCTGTGCGCGCCTGACAAGGTATAATGGCTCTCCCTTTGGTTCCATAGGTAATGCTGATAGAGAACATCATCCTCTTGCTGTTGGCTACTTACTTTCTCCAGGAAGCGTCGTGGAACAGCCTGTGGATGATAGCAAGTGTTATGTCTGGCTTTCTGATTGGTAAGACCCAATGTCGCCTTCTTATACCTTGCTCACATCTCGTCTTACTGCAGTGAATTCCAAGGGTCGGAAGCTGTACAGTCGGGCTCCTAACAACAACAACAGGACCTACCTGGCAGGGTCCCTGGGTGGGGCAGACGGTTTGCCCTCGGCTGCTAACTGCAAGGCTGACACTTTGAACCCACCCACCAGCACAGTGGGAGAAAGATCTGGTGATCTGCTTCCACAGAGACCGAGGAATGGAGCTCACTGCACTGTGGATGGTGATGCCATCACAGACCAGGGGATGAGACCCTGAACTCAGCCTACTTCTTTCTGCCTTCTTGACTATACTCATAACATTAAGCAGTGCTGAGCCTGTCCACTTCTATCTGAATTGTCTTGTGTGAAATGGCCAGACCAAATGCCATCTGAGTATCTCATGTGGGTCCTAAAACCCATTGCCATCGAGCCAGTCTCAACTCATAGTGACCCCATGTGACAGAGAAGAACTGCTCCATAGGGTTCTCTTGGCTGTAATCTTTATGGAAGCAGATAATAATACCAGGCCATTGATTTCTAAGCTGCTTGTGTACATATGAATGATATAGAGAAAGCTGACAATACCAGATTGCCCATGATGTGACCTGGCAGTGTCTAGACCTTACACACACAGTTCACGCTGGTCTGGGTTCTCTTGGCATATTTCCGGCAAGCCTTCTGGTGGGAGGATGGGAGCTCAGTGAGACTTGGGATGAATGGCTTTGCCCACTGGGAAGCCTAGCCGCTCGTTTTGATTTTCTAGTTCATGGGCAGTATAACTGTCCTGGAGCACAGTGGGGTCTGAAGTAAAAATCTCTTCCCCTCCCTATCTACTCTGCATATTTTAACACTGATTCAAAAATAAATGTTCAAACACATTCCTAAAATGTGTCTGGCTCCTGGGAACTGCCATGCTGATTTCCCAGCTAGTGTCTTTCCAAGGAGAATTTACTTTCACTCTCAGTGTGTGACCCCCGTGCGGTAGGAGAGCACTGTACAGCGAGTCAGATGCTGGCGTTTAGCACCTGGGTGCTCAGATGGCTGGAAGGAGAGGGGTGAAATGGAGCCAGGGCTGCTGCTTCTCACTCCTCGTTTCCATGGGTGCTACCTGCATCCCTCACTCCCAAGTGTCCCTTGTAGAAGTGCTCAGTTGGAAAGACTGAGCGTTAATTATAGTCAGAAAAGCACAGGCTGAAAGGCAGGCAGCTTGGCGAATATCTTGGCTCTTCCACTTTATTTCCTTCTTTCCCCTGACATTTATTGAGTGCCTACTGTGTGCAAACCTGGGACACCAGCAACAATCCCAACGAATCAATACATTTTTATTGAAAAATTGTACTTAGTACTTACGTGATTATGGGCTTAGTTCATCTTTCTTGACCTTGCATTGCACGTTGTAGAAGAATGAGGTTGATATTTACCTCACAGGGTGATTGCAAGAATTTAAAACAGTGTTTGAGCAGTGCCTGCCTCAGAGTAAATACTGAACACACAGCAATTCTGTCTCTGTTTTCCCCCAGTTCCAGCCCTGCCACTAGCTGTGTGACCTCAGACCTGCCTGTTAGTTCTCCAGTCCTCATTCCCCTGTGATACACAGAGAGGACCCGATGTGATCATCTTTTAGGTTCCTTCTGGCTCTTTCATAGGAGCCCTGGTGGCACAACAGTTAAGTACTCAGCTGCTAACCGAAAGGCTGGCAGTTCAAACTCCCCTAATAGCTCCACAGGAGAGAAACCTGGTGATCTGGTCCCATGAAGATTACAGCCTAGAAAACCCTCTGGGGCAGGTCTCTGTCGTATGGGGTCACTAAGATTTGAAATCAACTCAAAGGCACCTAACAGCAACAACAGTCCTTTCATGCTGTGATTTCCTGGCGCCCTTAGGTTATTTTCCCCAGAACTTACTTCAAGTTTCATGCTGTTTATAACCAGCACCCTGAAACAAGGCACTTCATCCAGTATAACAGGAAACTGGAAATAATGTGGGAGGATTACTGGAATGCTCTGTTAAAGAAATTATTGCAGTGGTCAACACTTCTGATCAAAATAAATTAAACTGACAACAATGTGATTAAGATGTTTATGTACAAAGGAAGTGTTGTTGTTGGTCATGGAAATTCCTTGATACGGGATTTTTGATGAGCATGTTTAACCTCTGCTTAGGTCTTATTTGTTTTTGAGACTACTTCCTACCAACCCACCTATCACCCTTTGGAATCTATCAACTGGTGTGTTGACGGTTGAATTCTGAGCGTTTAACCCAGTTATTTGAAAGCAGAGTTAACCTTTGTAGCAAACATCTCACACACACACTCACACACACATGCACACACATATCTAGAGCACTCAGTTGGAGTCACCACAGAATCGATAGGTTTAAACTTTGTTATTACATTTTTGAGTTTAGAAATTTCAGATTATAGAAGCTGGAGCCTACTTGAATTCTCCCAAAATATCCCATTCCAATGTTTCCACAAGTGTCCTATTTTGGCTCCCAGATTATATTACTCTACTTACAGTGGCCAGACCTGAAAATCTGCAAGCCACAGGGAGGATACAGAGCTTCAGATAATGTGAACTTGTCCTCCTTTTTCTTTTTCAGGCAGCGTCTCGCTGGTAATTTATTACACCTTGCTACATCCAAAATCCACAGACATCTGGCAGGGCTTCATAAGGAAGCCCTGTGGCACTGCAGGTGGTGATAAAAAAGAGAAAGACTCTTCTCTGCAGGCTGTGGCCCCAGCTGGGGAGAGGTTGGAGAGCCTGGACGTGTGCCAAGGGGAAGGTTCTGAGTTGACATGCCTGGGGGCTTCCCTCCACCCAGAGTGGGGCCCTTCAGAGGCTGGTCTGGGAAGCCAGGTTGCCAAAGAGGACCTTTCCCTGGGACACCACCACTGGCTGTTGGTGAAACTTGCCTTAAAAACAGGAAATGTGTCAAAGATCAGTGCAGCCTTTGGAGATGAAAATACTGGCTGCTTTTGCCCCCCTGCATGGCAACTGAGTCAACACTACAGCCAGCAGAGAAAGCGTGTCTTCTCCCAGCAAGAATTCGCAGCATCACCCTGGGACACCCAAGCCTTAAAGGAAGGCTCTGAGGTTGAATGTGTCCTTAAAGCGGAGGCCAAGCCTCTGGAAACCTCAAGTTACATCTCTTTCACCAGCGATCATCACAACAGTGCACCTACCCAGAACCTGTCAACTACACAGGGGGAAGACAGTCCAAAGGAGGGAGTTGTGGTTTTGCCGGGTGAAGCCATAGCCCCTGGGGCCCAGGGAAGGGGTGTGAGTGGGCAGCCAAGAGAAGGGGAAGGACAGGAGGGCCCTACACTGTATTTCAGTGCCATCATAGAAGGCACCACATCCTCACACCAGGAAAACAAGGTGTCTCCACAGACGTCCCACTCTGGGAGGAGATGGGGAGAGAGCAGCTGTGCCCAGCCTGCCTCACCTCAGCCAGTCCTTAAACCCTTTCCTGCCACCATGGCTAATATTAGCCCCATCCTTGGCACGGGCCCAGACAAAAGCTTCTCCCCCAGTACAGACTTCCCTGGAGGGACCTCAGGTAGCTCAGATTGTGGGGAGCGGCAAGAACCCCCAAGGGACCTAAATCATCATGCCACAGTAGGCATGTGGATGTCATTGCCAAAGACTAGACTGAGGCTGGAGGATGAGCCCTACCTCACATCGACCCCTAACTCTGAATCCATCCAAAGGGACTGCATCTGGAGGGAAAGGTGGAAACAAGAGAGGAGCTTTTCCATCTGATTAGAGTCATGGTGGAGTAAGACGGTAGACCAGCAAACCAAGCAGTTCACCAACATGTCACATAATAAGAGAACTGGTCTGGGGTTTAGGAAACCCCCACTCCTTGCACAAATCGCTTCTCTCTCTGGCCCGCCATTACTCAGCTGAAAAATCTCTAAGATCCCCTTGTGGACACCACATACCACACATAGCCATATACTGTGTTCTTGCTGATGTGACGTGGGAGGAGGAGAAAAGGCTTCCATTGGCATTGCCTTTTGTGAACTGTATTATTTATCCCTTTTTTGTTTTTTTGCTGTAGCTTCTAGGGAGCTCAAAAGATAAAACCCAGACTCCCTATTTTATTCTAGGTTCTTGTTAGCTAGGTTAGCTTCTCCTGTCACTAAGAGGTTATTAATGTCTCTTTCAAAGAGGTATTCTAACTATAATTATTTTATGAAATCTCGTGGTAAGGTAATGCAAATCCTTTCTGGAAGTCTGAGAAACTGATGGTTCTGATCATCAACATCAGTGACCCTGAAAATGCAAAGTGTCATTCTGGGATTCCCGTGCCACTTTGGCAGAGTCTAAATGATATTTTCCTTCCTGAAGACCACCAGTGGTTCTTTGCAGGTCCCTTCTCTCTGCTACTGACTTTCGCTCCATGTCCCTTATCTCCAAACTCTGCTCCCCCTGCAATGCGATGTGAGATACTGTCGGTGATTTCACTCATCCTACAAGAAGGGATTAAACGTCCCTTTCCTCTTTTGCTCTGTTTCTCACTCGTCACCTTGAAGTTGTTCTGTGTGGGTAGGTATTTGCATCATTTTGTTAAGCCTTCCTTTGTAGTGGTTTAGGGAGGCCAGTCAAACCATCCTAGAGAAAAGCAGTCAGCTTGTGGAGGGCTGGGTGCTGTTTGGTAGTGGTGGTTTTTACACTCTCCCAACATCTCTGGGTTTGGGGACAATATGACAGCCCTAAGGAGGATACCTTGGTGGCACAGTGGTTAAAGCACTCAGCTGATAACCGAAAGGTTAGCCGTTTGAACCCACCAGCAGCTGGCGGGAGAAAGATGTAGCAATCTGCTTCCGAAAAGACTATAGCCTTGGAAACCCTACGGGGCAGTTCTACTCTGTCCTGTAGGGTCACTCGACCGCAGTGCATTTGGTTTTGGTTCAGGGAACCCTGGTGGTGCAGTGGTTAAGCTCTCAGCTGCTAACCAAAAGGTCAGGGGTTCAAACTCACCAGCCACTCTGTGGGAGAAAGATGTGGCAGTCTGCTTCCGTAAACCTTATGAAGCAGTTCTACTCTATCCTATAAACTCGATGGCAATGGGTTTGGTTTGGAAGGAGGATGCATACAATAACTTAGAGTAGTGCATGCTAAGAGCATATGCAAACATTTTGTGCAGTAAGCTCTCAGGCTGTCAGTATCCCCAAGTCGTAGCCAGTCAGAGATAGTAGACGGGTGGCAAAGTACTTTTGGTGCACCAGGTTAATAGAGAACACAGAGAGTTTATTAACAGGACAAAGTCTTTCACAGTTACTCTCATTGTACTTTTTTTCTCCTCCATCTGTCTCTCACCAAGCTAGGAACTTGGACATCTTCCTTGATTCCTAACTGACCCCTACTCCACATTCTACTCCTATTCCCTTCTAAGGGGTGATGCTTAGAAACCTTTCCCGGCCTCCCACCCCTTCCTTACCCCTCTGTCCTCTGCCCCATGCTGTACTCCACGGCTGCCTCTGTGGTTCTTTGCACTCTGGTGATGTCTTCCTAAACTGAAGTGGTCGTCCCTTGAATGCTAATTAAGAGCTGAAAATTCTGACTTTGAGCTCTGTAATGCCGGTGCCCAGCACAGTGCCTGGCACAAGGTAGGCAATGGGAAATTACAGGATGAACTAATTAATTAGTGACTGCTTCAGTGATTAATTGTGGTTTTAGTGCATATCCTGCTAAAAAGGCATTTGTGTCATAGGTAAAAGGCAGGGGTGGGATACAAGGAATTGGCTCGTTTTCAAAGTTTCTAACCCTAGAATAGGCTAGAAAGCTAGAAATTCTTCATTTATTTAGGAAATATTTATTGAGTGTATCAGGCACGAAGTCTACAGAAGTCAACAAGATCTGTACTTGTCCTCAAGGGGCTCATAGCGCAGCATGGGCCTCCTGCAGGGCCCTGTTTATTTCATGCGTCCAGAAAGTGTATCCTGGGTAGTGAAAAGGATCAGGAGAAATACGAATATTTATTAGAGAAGACTAATAAACGGGCACTTAATTTTAAAAAATGCTTATAGAGTATCACTGAATGCTAGGCACTGGGGCAACAAAGCTAGACAGGAGGAAACTCACTGTGTGCCCCTGGCCCTCAGCAGGGGGAGTGTGTCCATAACCTTAGTCGAGTTCCCTGTGAGGCTGGGCTGCAGGAACTTGCAGTTTTGCTTAGCAAGAAGGACATGATGCCGTCTTTAGGGACCTGAAGGGCTGTCCTATGGAAGAAAGATTCGATTTTCTCCCTGCCTGGCCTAATGTAAGCCACAGAGAAGCACATTAGGGCTCAATACAAGATCTTTAAGAGTTGTCCAAAGGTGGACAGGCCATCTCAGGAGTCAGGAGTTACACTGCGCTGGAGTTGTTCAAACAAAGCCTGCGCAACCACTTAGCAAAAGGACTACGGAGGAAATTCAAGAAGTACAAAATTCAACTCAGAGACTTTGAAGGTCCTGACACCAGGGCTCAGATGGCTGTACTCACAGGGTGTGGGGACAGCAGGTGAGGAATGTTAATGTCTGTTTTACAGAATGTTCATTCATTGTGGGGAAGAGGAGAACCAGAGAATCCAAACAAGTGCATGGAAGGGACCTATAATGATATAATTTGTCTCCTGCCCTCACTGAGCCTCTTCCTGAACCCGCTGGGTTTCGAAGTTATCTGTAATATGGTGCCCACTGAGCCTAACCAGAACTCCCGGCCTATAATGTGACACTTCACCCCAAGAGACGTCAGGCCTCAGCCAGGTGGAAGGAGGACGTGGAGAACAAACAGCAACTCTGCCGACTGCTCAGGACAGCAGAAGGGCCTTTTCTGAGCCAGGACTTCAGGTCTTTCCCGTCCGTGCCAAAGATTCACCATTGCCTGACTGCTCATTTGCTATCTTGAGGACATTGTTATTGGACAGAGCATTCCACATTACTACCCTTCATTTTCATCTCTGTGATCAGGACCCTAAAGCACAGATCTGGCCTTTGGAGACAGCAGTGTTAACATCCTCCAGCCAGAGACCACTAGGAACACACCTGTCGTTGAACAAGTTGGGTTTATTACTTGTGGCAGTGAGGGAGAACCCACACCATGGGGAACTGTGGCTCGCCTCAGTGAGAGGGTGTGTTATGAACTGAATTGTGTCCAAAATATGTGTTGTAAATCCTCACCCCTATGCTTGTGGTTATAATCCCATTTGGGATTGGGTTTTCTTTGTTATGTTAGTGGGACGGGATTAGTGTAGGGTATATCTTGAGACAACTCTTTTGAGATATAAAAAAGATTAAACAAGCAAGTGAGCTAGCAGAGATGGAGGAAGAGAGATGCTATGCCACGTGAAGCTTGCCCAGGAGCAGAAGCTCTGAAGAGACAAGGACCAGAGCAAACAGAGAGGGAAAGCCTTCCCCTAGAGCTGGCACCCTGAATTCCGACTTCTAGCCTTGTAAACTGTGAGAAAATAGATTTCTGTTTGTTAAAGTCATCCACTTAAAATATTTCTGTTATAGCAGCACTAGATAACTAAGAATTTTAGATTATAGGATTTAGATTTTGGTTGGGTAATTTTGGGGAAAGCCTAAGGAAGCAGAGACTTGCTCTGGACTCTTGCTCTGCAATTCTAGGGTTGGTTATCACGATAAACCTTATCTCTAGGGAGTGCAGATTAGAGCAAGGATAAAGCTGTACTTGGTAAAGAAATGGCAGCCATTTGATGAGAAGGGGACACTGGGTATTTTATAGGTTGCACAGTGACCTTGTTTTTGTCTTGCTTTATCATGGTCTTAGAGTGATCTTATGTGATGCTGACGTACTGTGAGTTGGTTTGTGTCTGACAGGAGAACAATATGGCCTAGCTGTGAATGTCAGACCGGTTCCCAGGCTGCTTTTTTCTTCCTCAGAATATTAGTCGTAGCTTAGTAGCTGTTTCTTAGGCCATTATATATTAAACCACAACTAAATATACCAAGATAATAGCTTTTCTAGAGTACCACTAGCAGTGTGATCTAACTATCTGTATTAGAGTTTGTATTTTAGTTGGTTGTGCCTTTCGTGGGTTGGAATTGGATCTGTTGTAAGCCTGCTTAATTTGTCTGCAATGTATGGGCAACATAAGAGAGTCTGAACAAGCCTTAGACTAGTTTACAGAAGTCCAGCGTCATTACAGCGTGGCCCAGCTGCCAAGCTCTGGCACTGACATAGTGGTCGGCCTCTCTCTGTATATGCCTCAGCAGTTGAATGTGAAGTACAGTGGTGCCTTGATTCTCCTTCGCAGTTTCCAGTGTATAAGAAGCTCCTACCTGTGTTACAAGGAGCCCTGGTGGTGGGGACATTAAGTGCTCAGCTGCTAATCAAAAGATTGGTGGTTTGAACCCACCAACCACTCTGAGGGAGAAAGACATGGCAGTCTGCTTCGGTGAAGAGTTACAGCCTTGGAAACCCGATGGGGAAGTTCTACTCTGTCACGTTGGGTTGCTATGAGTTGGAATCGACTCGATGGCAATGGGTGTCATATTCGAGGTTGGAGGTACCTGTGTTACATCATTTATTCTTTGCAACAACCTTCAAGTCAGGTATTAGCCTCCCTCCTATTTTACAAGTGAGCTGGTAGGAGGTGAAGCTGACACTTGAAGCGAGGCCTGAACTAAATCCTTACTGTGTGGTCGCCAGACTCACCCACCTCTATTCCACCTTTCTAGTCCCCTCCAGCCTCTCCCACCCTTAAGACTGTCCTTAGAGCCTCATACCTCACTACCAGTGGGTCCTCATTCCACTCACCTACTTCCTTTCCCAGCCCCAGCGTTGTATAGCTCTAACCCCACTTAGACGCCACCCAGGGATTGGCGATGTTGCTTTTGGGAGCGGAATCTGGTTTTATGTATTCTATTAATGCTACTGCTTCAAGAAGTGACCTGCCACCCAGAACTTAGAAATGTCTCAATTGCTCCCATGGTATTTGCTCTAAGGACATTTTTATCTTATATCTGCTATTGTAACTGTCCAGCCACTGTTCTTAATTTTTTAAGTCTACCTCAGTTTCCTCTTCTTCCACAAAACTACATACCAAAAACAAACATACAAAAAACAAAACCAGCATTCTGACTCACGGTGACCCCGTGTGTTACAGAGTAGAACTGTGCTCTATAAGGTTTTCAATGGTTGTGACCTTCCGGAAGCTGATTGCTAGGACTTTCTTCTGAGGTGCCTGGGTGGGTTTGATCTGCCAACCATTCAGTTAGCAGCCGCGCACTTTAACCTTTTGTGCCACACAGGGACTCCCTATAGGAAACAATAAAGGGACACCTGGGGTCCATAAACACTACAAACTGTACACCTGTTACCTTCACTGTCATTTCTACCAAAAGCCGGGAAGCCTCTGCTGTCCAGATCCTCCAGGAAAATTAGGGTTGATTTATATAAATATTTCTTTAACTATTAGAAGCTCCTTGAGACAGGTTATTTTCTTCAGCTCTCTGACCCCCCTGAGGCCCGGCTGGAGAGATGGCTGAATGACTAAGGATTTTGCCTCTAGCAATGAAGTGCTTAGATAACTATTTTAGAGGTGGATTTTTCTAAAATTATTACATACTCCCTTCTCTGCCTTTTTAGACAGAGGACTCTAATATCTCAGATATGGCTGCTGTTCTGTCAGTCCGCGTCCAGCAAGAAAACAGCTGGCACACTCAAAGATGGTAATTGAAAGTTTAACAAAGGTGCTGTTTACAAAGTTATGGGACAGAGTTACAGAACCCAACAAGGGATGGTGGAGTACCCCATGTTGCCATTCTCACCCTTAGGGCAAGGAGAGGGAGGTGCCGTCAGAACCAGGAGAGAGCTGCAGTGGG